TCCGCAGCTCGCTTCCCTCGAGCAGCCGCAACTTTTGCAGGAGGTTATCCGAGTTACAACCTTCCCCTCGGGTCTGCCAGCCTGTTTTGGGGTTGGTTTTTTTTTTTATTTATTATTATTTATTTTCATGGAGTTCAGCCGAGATGCTGGGAGCGGTAACCCCGCACACCTGGATGTAGGAGGGATGTGCGTGTGTGTATCCTCCCAGGTTTGTGCTGGCTCAGCTACATCGGGGATTTGTGTGGGAAAGAAAGAGGATTTCTGGTTGACAGGGCTGAGCAAGAAGCAGCCCTTAATGGAATTGCAGTAATAATGGCAAAATTGAAACGCTGGTGGTTTCGGTGTGGGAGAGGGTTTCGCTGTGCTGGCACAGTGCCCCCAGTGTGTCTTGTCCCAAACGTGTGCAGAAACGCGGCGTGGCGAGGTGCGTCTCCCCACGTTGAGGCTATCCGTTTTGCAGTTCTTTTCTAAAAAAAGTGGGTTGCTTTTTTTTTTTTTTTTTTTTTTTTTTTTTCCCTTCTCTCCTGAGAAGTGCTGCTGGGACACGCTGTCAGATACCGCCTGCTTTCAACCCCTACCTGTATTCCTGCGCCGTGGGGCAGAACGAAGCGCCTCCAGCCTGCCCCGGCGCTGGCAGAGGCGAGCTCTCGCTGCTTGGTAGTTCTACAACTCCCCGGCGCAACCGGCCTCTCCAGCAAAAAGTCTTGCATCCATATTGCATGAAGAGAAAGGCTCAGAAGGACGTTATTAGTGTAGATTAAGAGTTCGGTGCTATTAGGGAGTAATTACTACTTTCACAGGAACTACTTAGCACGGGGCTTAGTCCGTTAGCCAGCAGCACACGAGCGTGCCAGGGTCTCCGAAAGCTTTTCGCCCATGCAGGAGCATCGTGCCTGCTGTAATAAATGACTCGCTATAATAGTTACAAGTAACCAATTTACACTCCTAGCACAGTTGCTAATCAATAAAATGGAATAGTTTATCCGGGTGTCTTTATTATATGTATTCTGGGTACTTCACTCCCAGCCAACTCGGATATCTTGTTTCTCCAAAGTGCAACCTATTTGTTTTCCTCTCATTAAGTGCCGCTGTAGGATATAAAGTTAATAGAGTGAAATAAATATCCAGCAACATTAAATGTTGACCCAGGGTTCACGGTTACGGCTATTTCAGGGCATCTGCTCGCGGTGCAGTTTGGGCAGCAGCAGCACTCTAAAATTTCTCAATCTTTAAACAAAAAAAAAAAAAAACCACCCAAACCCACCCAGATATGCGGAAGTTATTTCCAAAGACAGGTGGGTGCTGTTGCCTTTCGTTCTGTCTGCGTGACACCCGCTGATCCACGCCGAAAATGCCAAACCTCTGCGTTGCCGGTTCAGGTCTGGGGGAGCGCAGAGGTGACGAGCGATGCGCTGCCCTAGAGAAGGGCCCTGTGCCCACATCTGCTTCCTCCAGGGCCACAGGGTCGCTCGTTAACGGCGCAAACCTCACTCCTCTCCAGCCTCAGCCCATCACAGCCCCAGCAGCGCTACCCCTGTAACATCATCTGTGGTCTCCTGCCTTCTCTGATAACACAAGTCATCTCACAAGCTTCAGTTGGGTCCCGGCCGGGGGCAGAGGACTCTTTAGCTTAGGTTTCACCCAGCCGCGGCGTTTGCCTCCCGGCAAATTCAACGGGAGAGCTGGGGCTGCCCTGCTTCATCCCCACAGCGCTTCGTTGAGCGAGCTCTGCTCTTCTCCGCAGCGAGGAGTTGGCGTTTCGGGAATTCGGGAACGCGTTGGGAAGAT